GGTTTTAGGGTTTGGGGTTTTGGGTTAAAGTTGAGGGTTTGGGGTTTAGGGTTTACGGTTCAGGGGTTTAGGGCCTTCGGGGGTCACACGTTGATACCTGTTTTGGGGGGCATACACGACAAGTGCTGTAAATCTTGGTTCCAAATCTTGAGCTGTCCTTTGCAAATTGTATACATACGGGTTTTAAGTCCTTGGGCTCAAAAACCTTGAGCTGTCGTTTGCAGAGGTCCCTCAAAGAAAACTAGGGTAGCAGCTAAAAGAACACCGATCCTGCAAACTTGCCCTACAACCTGACCTTCCCACAGTCCAAATCCCAAGTGGTAGAAGCCTTAAACACTGAAACCTAAGCCCTACCTTAAGAACTCAAAACCCACTTTTAACCCTAATATGGGATTTATAGGGACCCTACAAAAAAGTAGGTTTCGGGTTCTTAAGGTAAGCCCTACAACCTTAACCCAAATCCAACTCGTAGATGTTTAGGGTCGCGGTTTACGGTTCCCCAAACCCTGAACCCCTAAACCCCAAGGCCAAAACCCTAGGGTTTAGGGTCCCTACACAGCTTGTAGAATCCAACGGGAGCCGGAGCCCTGGAGCAACCCCCCGGACTCCTATTTATAGGGTTCAGGGTTCAGGATTAAGTTTTAGGACTTGGTGTTTCAGCTTTTGAATTTAGGGTTCAGGGTTTAGGGTTTAAAATGATTTAGGGCTTAGGGTTTGAGATCCAGGGGACTGTAAAACGGAGAGGGCAGGTACTACGGGGTTTCAAATGAGCTTGGGGTAGATTATAATCTACATGATGCCAAGGAAGCCCAAGAATCATTGGTTATCATTCCTACAGCAAGGGGACCTGTACCCTTGCGGGGAAGTAAAACAAGCAAGGGCAGACCAAGCTGCTGGACGAGAGAAGGTTTCCAACTTCGAACTCTACAAGAGGTCTGGTTGGAGTCAGTGTGTGGGTGTGTGAAAGGAGAGACACATAAAGGGTAAAGGGTTGAGGGTTCCGGCGCCCTGAACCCTAAGCCCAAACATGCGTATCTGGCGATGTGCTTTTGTTAGCTTTTCGTATCCGGTATATAAGGGGTGACGGGGGTTGGGAAGGGGGCGGTCGCGGGGGCGGGGGGGGGGGGGGGGG